GAAAGTTCGAGGTGCCAATTCTCTCAAGAAAATCAGAGGGGATTAAAGGCCTTCCGAACAGATAATTTACCGAAACGATCCGTTGGGTGCCCCTGATAAACTGCGTGATTGAATTGTGATTTTGAATGGATTCTAGAGATTCTTGCTCGCTCAAACGAAATCTGATGAATTATCTGTCAGCGCGTAAGGAATATTTATCAAGAAAGATCTAAGCTAATGTTAACTTGTCGTTTGCAATACAATGGAAAGAATAAACAAAGTTAAAATTTGTAAATACAGTAAATCATGGTATAGTCTGATCAGCTTACAAGTAAATTAACAACTTTAGGTGAATCGATGACGAAGTAATCTCCACGGGCACTAGCGAAATGCTTTCATTTGTCAGATTTTTACCCATTCTACAAGATCGAGGCTAAAACAACTCGAACTAGCTAATCGACAATACATGGATGATACCATCAACTGCTTTCTGTTGCACAAAAAGCACGTTTTCAAGAATAATAGGCCGACTGATATGTGCGCCTAATTACATGTAAGCTTGAAAAGGTTTGTTTTGAAGTCGATGCTGTGCTCCACCGGTGGCTTGGCAACTTAACGAAATGTGCCTAAAGCTCTTAGTTCGAAGAATTCAGATGTGTATAAAAGTTAGACCATCCGAATATTCGTTTGCTGGCGATTCTTGTAAACTGAGATATTGACAATTCACAGCTGCACGAAACCTATACTAACTGCCCTAGTTATTAATCACAATATGCAAAACAATTCACGCTTCACGAACCTTTGATGTTTGTTCTGCTCCAGTAGTTTGAGTCTGTTGGCAACTCTTTCAGGACATTGTAGTTTATAACCGTGATGAAGACGAAAGAAATCGAAGAAACTACAAGCATCAAACGGCCGCATTGTTTCCGCGGCAGCCATGGCATTATTTCTTCTGAGCAAGGACTGGAAACTGGACGAACGGTCTTTCGCTCAGTAATGGAATATATTAGCTATAATTTAGAAGCAAGTTCGAGTTAGCGCTCGATGTAATGCTTTCCATGCTCAAATAACGTTGTAAGTTATTTAGTTTACTTTTACTTACCTCTGTAATGATGTGTGACCTCGCTACACGCGCTATCGTCTTGTTGCGTAAGCGGTCGACACACGACAAGGCATTAACCTTCCAGGCATGTGACCTATGTAAATTCACCCAAATGTCCTCTAAGAAAGAGTTTGAAGATTTGATTAACTCGCCTGCGTAGCTGGCGGTTTAGTTGATTGGGCTTGCGCACACTAAAACAGTACTAAGCATGCAGTGACGCTTTTACGACACAGACGCTAACCGGAAGTTGAAAGTTCTCGTTCCAGGTGTTCACTACAGCTTTTTGGCCAGCACAGTTTGGTTTAAACTACAAACACGACGACTTTCCAGTTGATCCCACGAGGTCAAAAGGGCGCCAGAATTAGCTCTATTCCTCTTCCTGTTGCCGTCCGCGTCTCAAAATCGTCGCTGCTTAAGTTCGCTTGAGTAAATCACGTACGTAGGTTTTTTTTATAAAATCTAAGCTTGCAATAATTCATTGAGGAAAACGCATAAACTGCATGGTTGAAGGCAAATACAGAACTGTTACAAAGCTTTGTAGAAAAATTAAAGCGAGTTATTTTTTTTCCTCATAATTTCGAAAGAAAAAATGTTGTGGCCCTCCTCAAAGTTTGGTTACTTGAATTCTGATTGGCTCTCTTAGTATCGTTACGAATTTTGCAGTATTGACCGCTTAGATGGACCGCTCGCTAATTAAAAATTCGGCTAATTGCTTTGTCAACTAATTCAATAAAATGAAACAGTTGTTTGTTAAGTAGAAATGTTTTTAACTTCATGTTTGGAAGACAATTTTAGTTCAATTTTCACAAAAAGCGACGTGAGAAACGCAAATAAATGCTTACCTTTCGAGCGCGCGTTTACCGAGAATGGATCGCGGAGAGGCATTAATTTATCAGCAGAGATTAAAAAGAGCTATTGTAATAAATATTTCATTGAATTAGCTTGTCGGTCAGTGGAAGAAAATTGGTCGATTTCTTTAAATGCAGGTTTACGGACCTCACCTACGGTTTGGTCCATTAACCTGTAAAATAAGGAACTACGTCGAACAATTTATTTTCAGTACTGACCTCATGCTTGTTCAATAACATAAATTATCATTCGATGCATTTTTTCTTTCTTTTTATTGGCCGAGAGCCAAACACGTGACCTGCAAATAACTGCCTAAATATAATGGTCTGCTCAAGCGTAATACCGTCTAGATGTGTTTTGCTGCAAATAATATTCTGCTCATGCGTTATTGTAACCATGATTACTGGTGAAAATAGCAGATTGCTCCCATAAGCTGTCAGAATGTGATTTAAATAAGAAAACAAATTTGGTGATCGACTGATAATACAATTATTGAACTCGGTTATCGCAAAATATTGTTATTTTTCAGTGTCTCGCAGATCAATTATTTGCCTCAGCCTTCGGCTTCGGCAAATAATTGATCTGCTTGCCACTGACAAGTCACATATTTTGCTCAACCTCGTGCAATAATTGTTAATTATATTTCATATTGCATGACTCGGATACTTTGTAGCACATAAATTATACTTCTGTGAGACTACAAGCGGCTTGGCCAGTTTGATAACTGATTCAAACTTTCTTCAACTCAATAGACCTTTTCTGCATTCCAATTCAGTGCGTTCGAACAATAGTACCAGAGCGAGGTTGGGGTGGACATTTTCATATGTTTGCTGTATTTTTGTCCACCCTGTCCTCGACTCGGCGCCATTGTTTGTTGGAATGCGGGAAAAGTCTATTCACAAGAGTATTGAGTTTAATTTATGGACAAGCCTATTCACACTGAAATGATACGTATTTGCCTTTCTTAAGAAGTACTACAGGAAAATGACAGCCAAAGGTTATTTGATTCAGAGTACTTGACGTAGTATATCCAATGATTGATGTCTATGACAACTTTATGGTGGCATTGGTTTTAATTATTGTAGTGTGTTAGGAAGCAGCTGACAAGCTCGGGTGACAAGCAAAGTTTATTTAGAGGATATTAATTTGAACTTCGGCGAAAAGAAGAAAAATACATTTGATTTTCTTTTAATTTAAAGATGTAAGAAGAACACAAACAGTCCGGCATTACATTCGTGATAAACTAACCCGGGGGGGAGGGTACTCTTATATAAAGAGGACAGGGGTGCTCGGCATACCTTTTGGGAGATAAAAAAAGTGGTTTTGGTATCTCATAAGGTGAGGTACCTCTTTGGAGTGAAAAGAATTTCAAACCACCCCCCACAAAACAGGGCCTTGGTACCTCTTAGAAGTTTTTTTCAAAATTTCCGACCAGCACCCCTGTCTTTTTTTTATATTGGAGTCACCCCCGTGCTCTCTGATTCACTCGTGTTTCTGTCATATCGGCGTCATATCATGTCGCAGATAGCCAACTGACAAGTTGTCAATGTACTCTATCATTGTTCACGTAAGTTGCGAAAGAAGGAACACAACTTCAAAACCGATAAATAATTTAGGCAAGCATTTTCAGCAAATAAATTTTTAGAAAAGCATTGAAAACCCAAAAGATGTTTACACCTTTGATTACAATATGACATATGAACAATTTGCACTTTCAGTCCATATTGACCTTAAGTTTTTTTCCTTCTAAAAATAGTAGTCAAATATTTTGCTCCTGATTAATATAAGATTACACTTCAGATTGAATTGACCATTTTGAATTGACATTTTTATTCAAATAAGAACAGTAATAAGATTTTTTCGGTGTTGGGTTGATTTTATAAACTACGGGACAACTGCGAGCGAAGTTCGCAACGCGTTTTGAACATGTGGAACCATTTCAACGAAACTGGTACCACCAACTCCACTGTAAAGAACGGTTCACGAACTGCCAAAATTTGTCTTATGCCTGAGGTTATCATAATCGTAAACTGTGCTTTAAATGTTCCGTTGATGCTCATATCCATTGTGGGAAACTGTTTGGTGCTAGCGGCCATAACGAGGAGCCCTTCACTTCGAACACCTTCCATGTTGTTCCTGTGCAGTCTGGCTGTTTCGGACCTTCTCGTTGGCTTCGTCATTCAACCACTTTATATCGCCAGTGGATTTACAAGAATCAATGTTCTAGACAATTTGTGGTTCCTCGTTTCATTTGCTACGTGTGGGATTTCTCTTTGTTCAATAACTGTGATTAGTGTTGACCGATTTTTGGCTCTCCATTATCATATGCGCTATCCCACCTTGGTGACCAAGTCCCGCGCAATTCTGACATTGGCACTAATGTGGATTTTTATTTGCATTCTATCCGGAATCTACTGTTTAAATCGGAACGTCTATTTTCTTGTTATAGCTCTTGGAGTTGGCTTATGTCTCTTGATCTCAATCGTGGCATACATTGGGATTTTTCGTATCGTTCGGCATCAGCAGTTGCAGATTCACACTCAGCAACAGGCAGTACAAGTTAGGACTGTGGACGTCTCTAACATGAGGAAATTAAAGAGAAGTGCATTGAACTCTTTTGTATTTTTCATAGTAATGGTGCTGTTTTATGTGCCAATGTCTGTTGCAATGGCCGTTTATCTCATAACCGAGGAGTGGGAACATGCTTGGGGCTTTACAACAACGGCAGTCTTTATGAACTCATCCATAAATCCATTTTTGTATTGTTGGAGACTTGGTAAGCTACGAAAAGCAGTTGTAAAGACAGTGAAGAAGATATTGTCTAAACAGTCATAAGTAGCAGAAAATACACTACGTATTCATGACTGTCTGTCATGTATTTAGACGAATTCCTGCATTAAGCGGGTTAATCATAGCACAAGGAAATGAAAACAAATTTTCATGATGCTTGTAGTACATAACTAACAGTAATCAGAAAAAGAAACTACCTTTTTGTCTTAAACGTTTACATGTTAATCTAAAAAACCAAGATATTGTACGTGACAATTTTTCCAACTGTAAATTCAAATAAAAAAATTATTATCAAGTATAGAGATTAAAATTTTGGCCGAAGAATGAGTTGGCAATATAGCATTCATCAGTATTTTCCGCCCAAAGTGCTTCTTCCGGCCTCTTTGTCAAATCTATGATGTAGTTTCGTCTGATGTCATAGAAGTTTAAGCGTCACTTTATCTCCGGAAGAAAACAATTTGCTAATATCAGAGAGTTTTGCCAGTTTAATGAAAACTTTTGTGTCTATAAGCTGCTGTTTTTCAAAGTTGTGTGAGAAATACTTTTAAAGCTAGAACAATGTTTTCACTCTATCGATTAACTGAAATTTGTCGGTTGGGGGGTTTCACAGTGACTGTATTGGCACTACAGGAAATTTCTCCATTAAAATAGAACTTGTTTGGCCAAGGCAAAGAAATTTCGTTGTAAATATCAAATAAGATCTCGATCCGTTGTGACGCCAGATGATTTGGCTTGGCGCGCTGAGAAACAGAAGAAGGCTTCCTAATATTAGCGATTACATTTTTCAAGCTAAATATACATACTGTGATTTATGTAATGTTTATTTTTCTTCTTCAAAGTTTAATATAGCATTTTTTCATGTCAAGACAACTGATAATGTGAGAATAGCTTGTTAAGAAAATATTCTCTTTTTCTATCCTTTAGACGCCAACTGGCGCATAGGGCATCAATGCAACAAGACTTCTCTGTCACTGACGGTCCTTGGCAAGCCCTGCGGCTTGTTCCCAGTTGAGGTTTAGGGCCTGAAGTTCTACCTCTGCAGTCATTGTTCAGGTAGATTTGGGACAAGAAAATATTTTAGGATGTATGATTTACCAATCTCGTTACTTAGCTAAATTCCTACAATTTTTTTCCTTCTTTTTTTTCCCCCTATTCTAGGCACGCTATAAGCCAGCTCCAAAAGGCAAACTGCGCTGTCAACAAAACTTTAGTATGTTGTATACTGTGTACCGTTAAAACTCACACGAAAGCTATTGAGCAGTACTTCCAGGGGGCGCGGTAAAATGCTTCAAAGTTATGCAATGTTGAAAATATGATATACCGGCGACAATTAAGAGGCTTTACTTTTGCCTAAATATTGTCAATACTCTATTTTTAAATCATGAATCTCTGTGTAACAAAATTAGTTGAAAATAAAAATTTCCTTATTTGGTTTTATTTCCATCAAGGCTAATTTAAAGTTTGCATGTCGCTATCACCACAAATGTGTTCTCCTGCAAGACTTATATATTTCTATATTGTAATTAAATTCAAAATATATGATTTTTTTCTTTCTCGTGACGTGACTTAACTTGCCTTTTCTGAATTTTTTTTTTTTTTTCATTCCGAGTCTTATAAAACAGATAAAACGCCTAACCCTAACCTTAGCTCCTTCATAAATAGAACATAAATCATAAGAGAGATAAAATACATGAAGCAACCGTCAAGCTTGGGGGATTCATTAAGCTATGCCAAAGAAATAAACTCAGATTAACAAGACTGTAAATTAGAAAACTTCTTCATCTTGATACTTAACAAAATGGCTGTCATAGAAACATCTTTTGGTTTGTGTAATGTAAGGTATCTGCGTAATAGTCAACGCACAATGTATTGTTCTTCTATCCCCACCGAGATATTGAACAGAAATTTTCAAACTCATTAATTAATCGCGGCATCAAAATGAAGCAAAGGAAACTGTAACCGTGACAGTGTTTGGATATCTGATCTTAATTAGATTTTGCCGTTCTCCCCTTAGCTTGAGTTTTGATTGAAAAGATATATTAAACACAAAAGACCGTGTTTGACCACATTTCCAAACACCTCAAAGTTCTTCAAAAATACTCCGCTACGCGTCGTGTTGTCTACTCTCTTCCCGGCGTTTGGATATGTGGTCAGACACGGTCTTTCGTAATTGATATATTACTGTAAATTTAAAGAATGCTCTCAGTATTTTTGCCTTTTTTTTTTCCAGTAATACACCTTTACATTGAATTGCTCAGTATAAATGGGAACGTCATGCTTTAATTCTTAATATTAATAAAATAACAATAAATAAATATTTATATAGCGTCTATCCATGCCTGCTCTAGGCGCTGTACAATTCGCCAAAATGAGCTGTACTAATCTTAATATTCACGTCAACCGCTATATAATATCTATATTTTGGGAATATTAGACATCAAACTCCAGTGATAACATCATAAACACTTAATTTAATCCAGGTGAATTAATAGAATTAAGCTGAATGTTTCTGAAAATTAAGGAAAAAAGTATTTTCTGGATTATGAGAGAGGGTTAAGAGTCGAAAACCTTCCCAACATTATATTTCTGTTTCTTGCCCATATCGTTTTAACACAGTTATATTTGGTTGGCAATTTGAGCTTCTCGAGTTATCTGTTGCTACATATATTAAAAGGCAAGATATAGTTTGGAGGCAATACCTTAATGCGTGCTATTCCTAGAAGCAACTTTCACGAAACGATAATCGTCTGAAGTCTGTCTCTCTAAGAAAATAATGGTTGAAAAATCTGTAAATTGAACGTATTGTGCAAATAACACATTTTCACTTATTTTAGAACTTAACAGGCGTGTTGCGTGTTTGTTTATAACGTAATAAAATTTAAAAAAAAAATTCTAGACACAGCAAAATGTGCAGTAAAAACGTATTTACACTATAGTTGGGTTTGTGTCCTCGCTCATTTTAAGAGGAACACCTGGTATATGCTCCAGTTCAATCCAATATTTGTCTAAGGAAAAACCTAGATCAAGTCACCAACGCCCTCAAACTATATTTCTTATATAACTAAAACCGCAACATAATATACTTTGCATCTTTTGCTATATTTTAGTTATTTCTAACATTACCAAGCTAAATAGTTGCCATTAAAACCTTACCCGGATATTAAGCAACTCGTAATGAACCCTGAAAATTCTCACGCCCTTTTTCACCCGCGTGGGAGTGTATTAAGCTTGAGCCTCGCATGTAAATGGCGTCTTTGCGGTTTAACTACTTATCTAAAGTAGTATCATATCTGTTAGCTCGAAAAACCTCAGGCTTCCTCTCCTACGCGCGTGGGCGCCTGGTGTGTGCAGCTATAGTTGATAGTTTCTGACGCAAAGCCAATGTAATTCTAAGTTAGTGGTTGTAGGCTAACTGTATTTAAGTTGTAGCGTGAGAAATGTCTCGGCTAGTGCTCGGCCCTTATCAGTTGAAATAATAACTCCCATGAATTTATATCGTACGTTGTAGAGGCCCAAAATTGTCGTATCCTGGCTGCCGCAATTTTGCCGAGGAAAACCAATTTGGCAAAACGCGACGAGCCAGAAATATCACATTCGGAGAACGCATAGGCGAGTAGCTATCAGTAATCTGTATATAAAGGAGCACTATCATCAGAATTTCACTGCAGTTTTGGTTAAAAATGACACCAATGTATTGACCAAGTACCTGTGGTCATCAGTACATAGATTAAAATAAAGGGAAAGCAAATTGTAGTTAGTTTTAGCAATTGTGCTAGACTCAAGAGCAGAGTTTAATGGCGTTGAGTCTAGCAAAATCTTATAGTAATGCTGTAACCATTCCATTTATATATACTGCAAACAATTTTTACAGAAATTGCGTCTAATTAGATACTGCTCAGGCTCATTCCGGCGTTGGCCATGTCAGGTGATGCTAGTCGCACACCGGGGTTACTGCCTGGGCATAAAGGCTTTAAGAAAAACTAGCTATGTATGTTTTTAAAACTAGATTTTTCTGAAAAGAAAAAGAAAAGGAAAACACTATGAAAACAAATTCAGTAAGAATGGATGGATGGAGAGTATGAGGATATTGTCAGGAAATTGTCCGCCAGAGAAAATGCCGGATTCTATGGCAAAATTTACCACTGTCAGAATCTTTCTGTGCAATATTTACCTCATTAGCATAAATGATTCAGTTTTTGATGGTGCTACAAAAATATCAATTCTGAATATTGAAATGGCATGGCACGATTAACTGTCCCATGCAATTTGAACCTGTAGTATTAAGGAATATTTAATTATGTGATATCGTTTAAAAACCCCAGGTTTAAAATAAATGGAACGTATATGGTTTATTAGCGCTTTTGTAACTCAGAAATTTGTCCGTTATTTTAAATGCAATATCTCCTTCAGTATTTTGCCCAAAGGCTGCTAATAATATCACTAATTTCTAAGTATCACACACTTTTTGAGTGTCTAGAGACAAAATTAATTTTACCTAGCATGATGCCATTTTCGCACAAAGTCGTATAATATTCGGATAAAATCTAAACAGTGATGTCAGGAAAGCTCAGGAAAATCAATGTCCGAAGCGAAAAGCGAGCGATGTGGTTAAAAGTTCAACCCATTGAAATTTTCGCCGTTTCAAGACGGGAGTGACAGCAACCGACACAGTATTGACACTCTTGCATGCTGAAAACTTTCAACCATTCGGGCGCTAGTATTAAATTGAATAATTCATTGAACTAATAGCAAGTAATTTTCCTTCTGTCAATAGCTCCCTGTTTCAGTTAATGGCCATTACTGTAATTGAAATTGCCCTCTCCGTATAGAAATTTTAATTAACTTTTTCATTTCGCACACACATTTTTATAACACATCTTACACTTAAACACGGAGCAGCTTTAATCATGCAGAGTTGAAATTTTTGTTCTAAAATGTTCGACTTTTTCGAAAGGTAAAGTTATTTAAATGTTTCCATGAAAGGATTTTTTAAATTTGTTAATGAACGACTAGAACTTCACCAGAAACAAACGCCACTATCAGTGACAGATGGCTATCTTTTTAGAATTTTCTATGCTTTGGAAATGTTTAGCAAATTTGAATAAGTACAAGTTGACGTACACGTATGACTGAGGTAAATACCTCAGGCACTCATTATAGCAACGAAAGGTCAACCGTTCAATTCGTATTTCTGTGTAGCAAGGAGCTAGAAAAGGTTTTCATCTGGGTTTGGATTTACAAGTTTACAAATTTTAGTTTGAACCAAAGGCAAAAGTTGACACATTTTGGTTACGCAGATCTTTCAGGCTGGACAAAAAAATTGTCGGATACGTAAAATGAAAAAGGTTTTTAAAATAGCAGTCGTTGCGATAAGATCAATCGTCAGCTACAAGTTTATCAGTGTCAAAAAAATTAACGCCATCAAGAAATATGGAAATCTAACTTGGACTAACAAGACAGTTTAATCAAGGATAAACACAACAATTCATGCTACCAGAAATACATCTTCACAAAGATGAACCTCTACAATATTAGCACCAACCGAACTGTCAGTGATGAACAAATGGACAGTCGGCTGCATACAAACAAGACTCTTGGAAATATCGTCATCATAAACTGCGTTGTAAATGCCCCTTTGCTGCTTACGTCCATTCTTGGAAACTGTTTGGTATTCATCGCCATCTGGAGAACTGTGTCCCTTCGATCTCCCTCCATGATGTTTATCTGTAGTCTTGCTGTCTCCGACCTCCTTGTGGGTTTGATAGTGCAGCCTCTGTACATTGCAAATTTGCTAATAACAGTTCGTCTTTTGAAAATTCTGTCGTCCATGACGGCCTTCGCTGCTTGCGGTGTTTCCCTCGGTACAATGGCCGCTATAAGCTTTGATCGATATCTAGCCCTTCATTATCACATGCGATACACGGCCATAATAACGTCATCCCGTGCAATATCTGCATTAATTGCTACATGGGTGACCACGTTTCTTTTATCTTGCGTTATATTCTGGAATCCTTTAACTTTCGTGGCTATAATAGCCATCTTAATCAGCGTTTATCTTATCATTTCAGCTTATTTTTACAGCAAAATTTTCCAGATTGTTCGCCGACATCAACTACAGATTCGCCATCAAGAATGCAGCCCAGAGACCCCAAATGCACTTGGGTTGAATCAGAAGCGCTTGCATAAGAGCGCTTTTAACACGTTTGTGTTTTACATCTCTACAATTCTCTGTTATCTTCCAAGGTTTATTTCTGTACCTTTCAGTGCAAGTGATCCCTACATACACCACGAAACAGCTTGGATCTTTGCAGATACTTTGATATTCCTGAGCTCAAGCATAAACCCAGCTTTGTACTGCTGGCGTCTTCGAGACTTGCGAGCTGCTGTGGTAAACACCCTTAGAGCAATGATCTACAGACAAACAGACGAACACTGACTCTTGACCATTAAAAATCTCTCAGTTTTTCCCGTTCTTCAGAACCCTAAGGTTCTCTGAAAAAGCCGTCATCTTAAATAAATGAATAGTTCAGTAGGCCAGGGAAGCTTTTTTAATTCAAACAGGCAGAAAAATTGATCCCTATGGTCGGAACATCTGCGAAGAAACATATTAATTTTTTCCTTTTATTATATTATTTTATTATTTTATTTTACCATATGCTTATCTTTAATTTACATTGCCAAATAGTTTTACGTATTTCCTGTATTGCGAAAATATGCTACTTAAAAACACTTCCCAATGTAAAATTCTCACTGTACCTGAAGAAGGCTGGTTTCGCCAGCCGAAATATACTACAGCTTCAAAAAAATCATCCAACGTTGTGTCGGTTTCTGTTTTTATATTCTTCATTTCAATAGTTGACAGCTCAATATGGCAGTTAGGCGTGGCTTAAACAGACACGCTAATAAAAATGATCATAGGAACCCTTTGTATTTTACTGTCGAGTATGCCATTACAGTAGGGGTAAATTCTACAAACTTTATGAAAGTTGATTACAGAAAAATGGGATACTTCATACCATGCCAACAAGGAGATGAAAACATTTTTTAAGTCTTGACGTCTCCAAAAACTCTCATATACCTCTCAATACGCGAGATGATGGCTGCATCAAAGGACCCTCTAAGTAATTTTTGTCCGTAAAAACCTAAATTGGCAGTTCGAATCTTCTTTCTTTTATATAATGACAAGGCATTTATAACTTAAAGCTTCCGTTCATCAAATGTCTTCCGATAGCTAAAGACAGCTGTTCCTTGAGTCCTCACCAAATGCGTCTCCCCAGGAAAGGAGTGTCCGCTTGCAACAGCAGCTGAGTGTTACAAGTTGTCATTTGGCTAAATAGCAATTTGCCTGGTTATATTTGGCAAGCCAACTATTAATTTCGATTGAACCCTTCTACGAGTGTCTGATTGGTGTAGCATAAGCCACTAACCAACAAACAAATCTCATTTTGATTTTTCTAATTTTAGAGACTACTGTCGCTAGAGTTCAAACCATTTTGAAACCAGTGCCACCTGTCAAATTTAGACGCCCCCTGCATGTGTAGCCAATCAGACGTCGAATTTACCTTGGGTTATACTGAGCTGAAGATTTCTCTGAGATGAAAGATGATGAGGACGAATGACGAATCAACCATCACCATCTAAATGTTGTTTTTGAAGCTTACAGCTA